TCTCTATATTTTTCTCTATATTTTTTTCTATTTCCTTGAAATCACCACAGATGTGATGTTATGGTAATGTAACCCACGCACGCAACCATACACATCCAGCAGTTTGAGGTTGATGTGAGGTGAATTCTCTGGCTTTGGGATCTATCCAATCATGCCCAAGTGGACATGGCGACTTGTAATCACTACCAGCAACCCGACTCTGGGTGGTCACCTTCGCCCATTGAGGCCTTTTTTTCTGGGAAATGGGGAAATGAAAGCTTCCAGGCTGACGATGACATTGACAACTACACACGGTGGTTTGTTGCAAAACGCCCCCTCTATTACCGATACGAGCAAGATTACGTAAAAATCATGAGAGGAATTTTCCATCAGCTTCACACTTTGCCAAGTGAGGGTCTGCAAAAGCTTCACATGTCCACTACATTGCGATTACAGAGCCTCATTCGGCTAAGTGCAGCCATAACAAAAATGACCACAGCAAAATAGGTGGAGGTTGAGGTCACACTGTACATGACATTCCGCTGCTCTCCATATGCAGAAGCTCAGAAAGGGGAGAGGATACTTGGCGCCTACGCTACTACGTAGTGTGAACATTTCAAAAAAAAAAAAAAAAAAAAAAAGCCCACAGTTTCAAGATTCAGTTCTGTAAAGAAGAAGGTCCAGATATTCATGGGAGTAGAACGTCATGATGGAGAATGTGTAAAAACGTATCAATAGGGATTGCAAACTAGCCGAGCATACCAAACTCTCCGCTTTACATTGATGCAAAAGCTTATTTGGATGAGGGCACAGTTGAAATGCAGGCCCCTTTTCAGACTGGAACTGAATAATATCCCAGTATTGCATGAGTGAATGTGAATGTGACACCATATTGGGGCTTTTATGTAGAATTCCTAAATAGATTAGCTGGGACAGTGGTGTGAAGGGAATCCCAGCTTTCTTTCTTCCTCTGTGTTTTCTTTCCCCCTAAACTTGCCACTTTCTCCTTCAAACTCTCCTTTAATCCCGTCCTCTCTCTCTCTCTCTCTCCCCCCTCATACATCCATCCTCAGTTTATGCGCCATCTCTCCTTCATCTCCGCTCTTTTTCATTTCTTCTCTTGTCTTAACTTTTTCCCCGTCTCCCTCTCTCTTTTAATCCCATTTACCGGTGCCTTACCCCTGCCTCTCGCTTCCTCTGGAGGTCATGCTCTTGAGTGCTCATTCCTGCATAAAACAACTAGCTCTCGTTATCTCTTGACAACAACACGAGAAGTAATGTAGGCGGCTTTCCCCAACATTAGTCACGGATGGCACGCAGGGTCAGTAAAACTTGTCTTTGTACATCAATCTGTCATGTTGCACTCAAGAACTGGCAAGTTAGTAAATCGTGCCTGATGGGAGTCTAAAGTCAATCCAAAAAAAAAAAGCAGACATGAGACAGCTGTTGTTACCGTGGAAATAAACTGTCTGTAATGATAAGACTTCTGCAGTTTCGCAAGATGAGTATAAACAGTTGCGGTAATTGCTGTTTTTACCCAAGTGATATGTCTTATCACATGAGTGACGATTGATGTAAAATTAACACTTCGGAGCTTTTAGAGAGGTTTCCCTCATGCTAATCACCCATGTCATACACAATCCTATTTTATTTACAATGTGAAGTCTTGTTAATCCTAAAATTGCTACACCACAGATGCTTGATGGATATGTCCCTCTACAGTCCATGCCATGAACACTGAATGTCATAAGTGCTTAGTGAAGCAATTCATGGTTAAATGGTTTCCCTGCCACGTTGTGGATAAATCATCGTAGCATTGCTAGAGATTTGCACAAAACCAAATTTAAAATTCAGTTTTCATCCAAAAGCAAGCAGACCTGAGGTGTCTGAAGATCCCATCAAGATAATATTTCCAGGAGATATTATGTGAGACAGATGTGTATTTTCAACCCAGATAGGAGTTGTAGCGATGGCGCCTTGGCAAGCAAATTTTAATAACCACTCACACAGGCACGAGGATTTATAAACCAGCCACACTGGTACGGCTCATTAGGCTACACTACACAGTTCAAAACAACATCTACACTCAGTGGCTTTAGAAAAAGGCATCTGAGGATGCTAAAAGAAAATACATTTTTCTAACTTTTTCATCCCAAACTTCTTTGTTCCGAGCTCAAAAATATTGCAGCTGATGAGGAGAAGAGCTAATAAAACACCGGCATACATTACCCAGACATTTTAGTTCATATGATTGCAATTTCACCGTCGAGCAAGACTAACGGTCCGTTTGTCAAGATGCTTTAATCACTCACAGCTCACTGCTGTAAGCATTCATTTCCCCCCACTTTGCCCTGCTGCAAGCACTAATCTTCACTTTCACTCCTGTCAGATGTATAAAGGCCTTGAGGTGACTGGATGATAGCAATTCATGTTACTGTTCAGCTACATTAACTCAAAAACAAAGAATGGATGCCCCAGTCCGCTACGCTGTCGGAAACTGCTTGTCTGCAAAGTGATGACGCGCAACTTCCTCGAAAGGAAGGGTGCTTTTTTTTTATGAGAAATTCTTTCTGTCAAAACAGACAGTCGTCGATTTAAGCTGCTTTTGCTGGGAAAGATTATACTATCACTTTGGATACACATTTCCTTCCGGTCCAGCTGCTAATCGTAGCAGACTACAGGTTGTCACAGAGTATGGTTCCTTGTCAACAGAGTTGTCTTCCTCTCATGCCAATCATTTAGCCAAACAGGCAATGCGGTAGGGTTGGTCAAGAAGTCAGTTGTCAGCCTTTAAGATAGCAGGCTACCGCTGTTTGTGGACGTTGGTTAGCGAGCAAGAAAGCAGCCAAAGCATCTGTAACTGCCTGATATTAAGAGTTATTTAGGGCAGGCAGTGAGCCAGAGGAAGTCAAACTATATGGCTCTTGTCTGCCTGAGAGTACTGGCTGCCCAAACAGATGAGGACAAATAAGAAGGGCGGGATGTGAAGTGAAGGAACTACAGTCACTTCAAGTGAAGGAGACATTGAAAGAATTTACAAGACAGCACTTTGAACGCCGGGGGCAGACAGAGCAGTTAACATGACAAGGACACGCTTTTTAACCTCACGCTCTCCACATAGAGTGATCTACCGTCTGCAGCCGTTTTGCACACAAATTATTCTGAAGATTTAGAAGACGGCTGCAAAGTCAAAGCACCCGAAAATCTGAACGGTGCCTTTATTTTGTGCA